CAATAAAAAAGTAATGGTCTATGCATCATATCAACGTAAAGCAGATCGCTTCTTACCTGAATAAAGTAGCTGAAAATAACCAACACGACAATAGCTCCAGACAAAGTACTAACAGCAAATCGGAAAAGAAATAGGAATAATCCTCCAAGGAATATAATAAAAAGTTGCACAAATAATCTTCCACGAATTCCAGCACGAGAACTTGCAAAGTCAGATAGAAAACCTCCCGTAGCGCGTGAGAATAAATTCATCATTCCAAACAGAGATCCGATCAAACCCGCTGTCTTTTGGGTCAAGTGGAAGTGGTTGAAAAGAAAATCTGCAAGAACGTTGTCTACCGCTATTTCTACGCCGAATGTACAGGCATACATAACTATTAAAACCCACACATTGAAATCAGATGCGGCAGTGAGAAAAGCCTTAGTTTTAGAAATAGGTTGAGAGGCAGTGGTGGTACTTTCGTTTGCCGGTTCAATCGCAACTGACTTCTTTTCCTTATTAACATCTCCAGCGTTGTGTACGTCAACAATCTTCTCTTCTTCTACGAGTTTCCCCCTATTTTTCCATTTTCCTTGTGGACAATCATCTGTAAACAACAGAATAGCTATGCCGACGACAATCGCCATACCTGCTGGTACTACTAGCGTCAGTCTCCAAGCGTCATGCGGGGACACTCCTCGATCAGTAATCCCTGACATGATTACGGGCATGATAAGGTAGGAAATACCAGCTCCCATGTTTCCCCATCCTCCAGCAATTGCGTTAGCACTACCGACAACGTTAGAGTCGAACATCTGCATTGTCCAGAACTGGCATGGAACAAATACCGCTCCAAGAATACCAATGAAAAACCTTGCAACCATCAATCCTTCCCGAGAGTGTGCCAAACCGGATAATCCGAGTGGAATGGAACCCAACAGAAGTAACGTAGCCATAACCTTTTTAGGACCAATATTGTCGCATAATGGACCAGCAAGCATACGGAACATAATAGTCGAGGCGACTGCAATAATGTTTGTATCATTAAATTTGAAATTGTCTAAATTCAAGTCCTTTTTAATTGTTGGAGCTAAAGGAGAGATAGCAAACCACCCAGCGAACGCGGTAAGAAATCCAAGCCACGCAAAGTGAAATGCTCGCATGTAAGGGCGAGCGAATTTGAGCAAATTGAGACGCTCCGCCTTTTGCGTAGTCGGGTTGACTGGGAGTGGGTTTTTGGGGTTCCCAACCAGTTTTCCAAATGCCTTTGACATTTTTTTTTGAGGTGAGTTGGTTCAGAAAGAGGGAAGGTAGAGACGAGAAGGAAGTAAAAACAAGGTAATACGATGAAAAACTTATAAAGAAATAATGATGTTCTGTATATTTTAAATTAGTGAAATTTCATAACAAATTCAACCGATTATTTCGTATTCAATCTTATAATAGGCTCTTCATGCGGTTTCTTATCAAACTATGGAAGTGTCAAAGAGCAGATGGAGTTCGAAAAGCCGGCGGCTAACGGGAGGGAATGGGTTGGACGCGACTTTAAAAAGAATTTTATTCTCAGTCATACAAATGGTTTGACATATTAAAATCAAGTGATTTGTATTATCCATTATTTGTTTTGATATTTCTTGTT